AAGCTTACGTGGCCCAATGAAAGGGGAAGTGTTGGCCGGAGAGTGCATAAAGCGAGTGCCCGTAGCACTGCTCTTGTCCATTTTAATCCAAAAGTTTAAAAGATGTCACAATTCAGTTCGTGTATTTTTCAAGCTTACTTATTAAGACTCAAACATAAATATAATAAATAAGTTAAATTAAAACCCCAATTTTAAAGTATGCAATCATGTTTAAACGGAGGATTGTGAGGTGCGCATATGCCCTTCCTCACTCCTAACCGAACCCCCGAACCTCGATCTCTATGTAGACCCGTTTTAAGTGACTTGTCCCACCTTATAATTTGGACGAGTGGCGATTCCTTTTTTTTTTTTATATATTTCACACTTGATTTTTTATTGTTTTTCTGAAAAAAAAATCTTAAGTGGTCATCAACACTAAAAGAAATAGGCTGTTATGTAGTGCCCAAGTCAATTACATAGGACATAATCTAGAAAATGTGATACACAAAATATTAATCCCAAAACTTGAACTCATTTAAGTACATAAATTTCACAATTTTAGCACATGAAATTTATGATTCTTCTTACTTTTGTGTTTATTTCTCTCTTTTATTATATAACTTAAATTGCAGCACTTGAATTTCTTATATTTATTCTACTGTTTTATTTACCTTTAAACTTGTTTGACAACCTTAAGTTAAAATTAAGAATCACGCTTACCAAACACTTTCTTCAAAATCTTGAATTGTTCAATATTCCCCAAATCTACCCAACTTATCTCCATCGTCCTTCTCCTTTTCCTTCTTCTTTGGTCCAGTTAAGGGCAAAATGAACTAATTTAATGAGATAATCCCAAAACTCCTATCAAGTAGGTCTTAAATACTCCCCCACTTGACCCACTTCTCATTCAACCACTTGGCATTTATTCTAACAAGTTATAGATAGCTGGACTGTAGTACTCTCCCTAAAATAGACACTTGGTTTGTAGTTTATTAAAATAATATGCAAATCCCATAATTACAATTGTTATAGATTAGTCCCTAATTGTAGATGAGATAAAGAACTCTAACTTTAGACTTAATGCAAATTAGGACTTATTTTCTTTAACTAATTGCAAATAAGAATTGGAGTATTACATTAAGTGATTATTATATTTTTATTTTTTTATATTAATTTATCATAAAAAAATATATTAACTTAATAAAAAAATTTTCTAATTAAACAAAATGATTAATTTTTTTTCTTTATTTAAAAATAGTATAATTTTTTTGTTACAAATGGAAATAAGTGTGTGATTATATTATTATAATTGATTTTATTAATTTATTTTCTTATTTTTTATAAAATTAATAATTTTAATAATAAAAAATATATGAAAAAAATACATTTAATTGTTTTCAAATATATTTTTATTAGTCATTTAATATTAAACAATAACTGATAATTATTATATAACCAAACAATTATATCAATCAAATCTGCTATTTACTATCTACTCCACACTTTTCACTATCTACAATATATTATCTACTAATCGCCACCTATTATCCACTACCGTTGTCCATTAAATTTTAATCACTATATCAAACAAACCCTTTATTTACAACTTTTCAAATAATATTCTTGAGTATATAAAGCATTGACTTCTCTTTATTTTTTTTTTTTTACTTTTACATCTAGTCGACCAAATGAGTGCAAAAATCTCGCCCAAATGCCTAATCCCTTGCCACATAGGCATGACATGGTAATATTTTGCCATGCAAGTGAGTTCCCAAACAGCAGTTAAGTTGGCAACAAGAAAAGGTCTAAATTGCACCGATCTCAGAGTTCATAGGACTGTATAATTAAAGTCTGGGGCTCAATAGCGATTCTGGGGTTAGTTCAGGGGCTTAACTTATGGTTTTGCCTTTAGTTAACGCAAAATTCAGAAATTCATTTCATCCTCTTCGTCATCTTCACTTCTCTGAACTTCAGCAGATGGCTAATGTCTCCGTTGCCGCCGAATGGCAGCTCCTCTACAACCGCTACTACAGAAAACCCGAGCTCTACCCTATGAAATGGAAACACGTCGACTTGTCCATCAACAAGGTGGCCTGCGCCCCCTTTGGTGGACCAGTCGCCGTGATCCGAGACGATTCCAAGATCGTACAGCTCTACGCCGAATCGGCCCTTCGGAAGCTCCGCATCTTTAGCTCCTCCGGCGTCCTCATCTCCGAAACTGTCTGGAAGCACCCCGGAGGCCGCCTGGTTGGTTTGTCGTGGACCGATGACCAAACCCTAGTCTGCATCGTCCAAGACGGCACCGTTTTTCGCTACAATATCCACGCGGAGCTTATAGAGCCAAATGTGTCTCTGGGCAAAGAATGCTTCGAGCAAAACGTTGTGGAATGTGTGTTTTGGGCCAACGGTGTTGTTTGCCTAACGGAGGTCGGGTCTATGTTTTGCATTCCGGATTTCAAGGTAATGCGGCCGTGTAAGCTGGCAGACACTGGAGCAGAGGATTTGCCGCATTCTACGGCAGTGATCGAACCCCAATACACGGTTTCGGGGAATGTGGAGGTGTTGGTTGCGGTAGGGGATGGAATTTTGATTGTGGATGAAGATGGGGTGCAGCAGGTGGAGGGGAATCTGGTGGAGGGTCCAGTTCAGAAGATGGTGATTTCGTGGGACGGGAAGTATTTGGCCCTTTTCACGCACGATGGCAGGATTTTGGTCACGGATATTAACTTCAAGGGAGTACTCTTGGAGTACAGTTGCGAGGTCAGTTATCATATGTTTGTAATTGTGAATGTGAATGTGCTTCATTTAGGTTATCCATATGGATGCAATATCTGTATTTTGCGGAAAGAAGTATTCAGTTTGGGCGGCTTTGTTAAAATGCGTTTCGATCTACTGTTTGATGAATTATAAGTTTCAAAAATTTTGATATATGGAACGTGATGAAATTATATATATTGATGATATTGTTGTAGTTCAGGTTTTCCCAAATAATATATGTACGTGCTTCCATAGCCTTCAGAAATGCAGTGAGTTTGTAAAACTTAATGGGAACATCTGAAATGCCCCATACTTTTTTTTTTCCATTCAATTGAATTTCCTTTAAGTTTGTAATTGTTCAACCTATAAATTAGTTGGTGCAGTATTAATGTTGATATTTTTATTTCTCATATAAAGTCAGCCCTTCCTCCAGAGCAGCTATCTTGGTGTGGATTAGATAGCGTACTGTTGTATTGGGATGATATGCTATTAATGGTGGGCCCCCATGGAGATCCAGTACGCTACTTTTATGATGAGCCCGTAGTTCTTATCCCAGAATGTGATGCAGTGAGGATTTTAACTAACTCAAGCATGGAATTTCTGCAAAGGGTTCCGGACTCCACTGTTTCTATCTTTAAAATTGGAAGCACATCACCTGCTGCTTTGCTGTATGATGCCTTGGATCATTTTGACAGGCAAAGTGCCAAGGTAGGAACTCTTTCTTTTAAGATAGAAACAGTACATTTTCAACCTTAGAACTCATGTTGCCAAGAATTCTCCTATCTTTATGAACTATTTGTTACAATTGCAATAAGTTGGTTTTGTAATTATTGATCAATAAACTGCCTTTGAACTTTGCTTGTTGTTTTATAACATAATAGTATACAAAGCATGGTTCGCATCAATTGTTACATGGTAAAAGTTTTTCATGTCTCCAGTAAAAATGATCTCTTTCTCTATTCTTTTGTGCAATGTATATAAAATGAAGAAAACTGAAACAAATGAGAATGTCATGAGGGTTGTATAATTTATTTAATTTATTAGAGAAATTTTGATTGGTTATTTCATACCAGGCAGATGAGAATTTGAGATTAATTCGCTTATCCTTGCCTGAGGCTGTTGAATTCTGTATTGATGCTGCTGGACATGAATTTGATGTCTCACGTCAAAGGACACTCCTAAGAGCTGCAAGCTATGGTCAAGCTTTTTGCAGGTGAGTGTTGCAGCGGCATTTAGTGCTGGTGTACGTTCTTTCCTTCAAATATATTGAATATTTTGTCTAGTAGATGCAAATTTCAATAGAATTATTAAATTAAGGCCAACAACATAAAATCATTAAATCCTAGAATCAGTGCCTTTAAATATGGACTGCAGTTTGTAATGTTGAGGTGGGAAGAGATCCATTGAAAAACTGTTTTAAAGCTCTAGCTTCTACTGCAAAATAGAAGTGCCAAAAATAAGAAAATTGCTGTGCAGATACAATGAATCCAGAAGTGAATTTTCTTCTTATATTGTATGTGGGTGAAGTGTGTTAAAAAGGTCATGCATTATTAACCTATTTATTTGTGTGTTTGGAAAATGAAGGAACATGGAAAGAAATTTCTATTTTAACTACTTTTGATGCTTGAAATCACAATGTTTAACTTATGAACCCCCAAATAAGCTTCATAGCAACTCAGGGACCATTTTGTGTTCTGTCCTGGACTCTGGTTTGGCAAGTAAATAATTTCTCATGTGCTTTTTTTCTCTTACCTGAACCTGATATTGCTGATGCCCATCTATTTTATGTATGGCATCTAGGAACTTGACACTTTAATCTTTGGCCTTAATTCACAGGTTGAACAGATATGGAGTTATAGCATATTTTATTCGATACATAGTCGAGATTTAAAGCTTCAGCTTTTTATACCAAGGGGCCACCTATTAATAAATCCTGATTTCTGGAATCTCTTCTTTACCAACATGATGATTTTGTCTAGTTATTGTGCTATTTAAACTCTCTATTTGTGATAACTTTGTTGCTGCCTTCTAATTAGGTAGCTTGTGGTTTCTCATATCTACAAGAAAAACAAATGATTTTTTTTTTTATTGTTCTCTTTTCTAGTTTTCCTGATTTATGCTCTTGGTAATGATATCCAGTTGTCTTTGGCAGCAATTTTCAGCGTGATCGTATTCAGGAGATATGTAAAACTCTGCGGGTCTTAAATGCTGTGCGGGATCCTGAGATTGGCATCCCTCTTAGCATTAAACAGTATAAGGTCTTCAAAACATTGTGATTTGATTTCTCTGGTGGATGATAAAATTGCCCCTCCTCTTCTTATCTTTGAGGAAACTAAGCTTAATTTTGTTCTCCTCAGTTGCTTACGCCAGCTGTTTTGATCTCACGTTTGATTAATGCTCATCGTCATCTTCTTGCATTAGAGATATCAAAGCATCTTGGAATGAGTCAAGTAAGTTCAAATCTGCTTATGACTTGATATCTCACTTATATTTTAGTTATTACCAAGTGCATAATTTGACAGAGTGAACTACTTTTGTCCCATGCCAATTACCATCTGGGGTGGATATTGTATTGAGCAAAAATTTGTTGGAAATGCGCTGCAAAACAAAACAAAGCCTTGAAATGAGCACTTGACAATTTTTTAATGGTCATAAATAAAGGCTATTATTTTACATCATTTAGAAGATGTTTTTAGTGTACAATTCTCAATAAACACTATTATTCTTTTTGCCAAGCAATAAACATTGCTATTGAGTTGTTATTTTAAGTGTTTGGCATGCATCAAGATTCAAATATTTTTATGACTTTTTAAGAAGGTATGTGAAGCGGGACAGGTTAGGGGTTATGGTGGGCTTGGGGATTTAGAAGCTGTTTAGGGAAAATATATACTGTGAACTAGGATAGAAAGTAGGAAGAGATAGAAAAAAACAATGAGAAAGATAGAAAATCCTAGAAGTCACACCTAGGTTTCTATAGGCATCACACCTAAAGCAGATAAAAAATCCTTAAGCATCACACCTGAGGTTAGTTGCATCACACTAAGGTTTGTTGCATCACACAACCAAGAGCAAAACTTGCTGGAAAATTCTGAATATTATTAACTTGACTGAATAATGAAAGAGGTTATAGGCATATTTATAATCTTACGAGTCCTAAATTAACAAGAAAGAGAATTCCTATTCTAATTAGAGTAGGAATTAGACTTACTAAAACTAGGAAGATACCTAGTAAGACTCTTAATTAAAAGATCTAATTGTAATAAAACTAGAAAACTAATAATAATCTAAAATAACACTTGAATAATAATAATTGCGTAAGAATGCTAGATAATCTAAATAACTACTGAATAGCTTCTTCTTGTTCCTCATCAGTATGATGATTAATGATCTTTGGCAGCAACATTAGATAAGCTATGATAGTGACAACAGTAATCATTATGTAAGCTGTTGGTAGAAATGGGGTGATTGGTTGATAACCTATGGTAGAAATGGAGTTGTTGGTGTATGGTAACTAGTAGCTAGAATGTTTTTAGTATGCAATTCACACTCTTTTTTTGCTTTTCTACTTTGGGGTATAAGAAAAAAAATTTTAAGCCTCTATCCTATTCTATATATATATAGTTTAAGAAAAGATAAATTGCACCTCAGATTTCATTTCACAAACACTGTCTTTTTTTTTTTTTTTCCTTCTAACAGAGCATGATTAGTATCTATAGAAGTGGGATATATTGTAAACTAGATAGTGTTAATATATATATATATACACAACAAGTAGGGATCCACTTACACATAAGTCTTATGCACCACACTCACACAAACTAGTTGTATATGAGGAGGGAAAGGAAGATGATCGTCATTAGGCTAAAATAAGTTAAAGAATATGCAGAGATACGAGGTGATTGACACAAATGTCTTTAATTTTGACCACTGGAAAAAAGTTTGAAATTGGAATTATTTAATTAATTGATTAAAAATTGATCATACAATTAAAAGTATTAAGTTTGCATATATCTGATTAAAACTTGGGATTGGTTAGTTCCCGATTAGTTATATGCATATCAATTACTGGAAATGCTTTATTGCAATATATGGCTTTTGTTTTGGATTTGTTTTGTTATGTTTTACAGTTGTTTTCAATCCTTCATCTGGACCTATTTGTGCAAGATAATATCATGAATCAGCTCTGCTAATTGGAACCTGGTCATTTATTGTTTTGGTTTGATTGCTGCCTTTTATTTGGGAGTAGAAGGCAAAAGTTAAATATAATATAAGTGCATCCATTACTGGTGAATTTATTTTTAACCAACTGGGGTTCATATAGGAGGTGGTCATAATGCACTGGGCATGTTCAAAAATAACTGCTTCATTAGCAATTCAAGATGCCAGTCTCCTAGAAATTTTACTTGAGAAGGTAAACAAAAACTGGGTTTATTTGAAGACTTATTTTATGCAAATGCAAATGCATCATGTGGAGTGTTCTAAAACTTTCAGCTGAAAAAGTGCAAAGGCATATCTTATGCAGCAGTAGCTGCTCATGCAGATAAGAGTGGTCGTAGGAAATTAGCTGCTATGCTTATTGAACATGAGCCACGTTCCTCTAAACAGGTTTATTTTCTAAAGTGACTCTTTATGTTTCTTCAATTTTCTTCATTGTCATACATATGATCATGATATTTTCACTTCAGGTTCCTCTCTTGTTAAGCATAGCTGAGGAAGATACAGCTTTGGTGAAAGCCACAGAAAGTGGTGACCCTGACCTGGTCTACCTTGTGCTCTTCCATATCTGGCAGAAGGTATTGGTTTCGCAGAACTAAATAGTCTGTATGTGCAAGTTATTGTATTACTTCAACTTACAGTTAAACATGAAAGCCAATGGTTTTGTAGCACAGAGCATGGTTGTTAAGAGCTCTAGGCACTCAATCTCTAGGGGTCCCTAGAGGCTAGGGACAGGCTTGGGCCTGACCCAAGTTGGCTGCACTGCTTTTAACAGAATGTATAGAATAATGAACTTGCAGAGTATAATAAAAATAATTTGAAATATTAAAATGGTAAACTGCCAAATGGACCAAAAACTTTTTCAGAAAATATGACAAACATAAAACACACAGCACAACAATATGTTAGCAAATATAACAGAGCAATTCGAAGCACTCAACAGAAGTCTGAAGTACTAAAAGTTTCATAATGAATGTTTAAAAAATCCTACTATCAAGTTTGAAGATGAATGCACTTCAAGTTTCTCCTCTCTGTTTTTCCTCCTTCATTAGTCTATTAAAGATTTAGCTTTTTGTGGCTATTGAAGCTTCCTTTATCCTTTTTTTTTTTTTTTTTTAGAAATAAAATTAGGATTCTATGTGAGGTAGTGTGCTGCACCAAATTTATACTACATAAAAGTAATCTAACATTGATAATTAAATATTCAATTAAAAAACAAAAAGAATAAAACATCCCTCAGATGTGCTATCTTTGGCACCTTGTGTTTCAACAAAAAGTTTGCAGTTAGATATGCCTAGGCTTGTGCCTGAGGAATGTTGGCTCACTTGAGGTGTTCTCAGGTGATGGCATGATTGCCTCTCACCTAGGTATGCTGCATGCCACAAGTCTAAGGTGCACGTTTAACAACTTTGGCACAGAGAGTGAGCCAAATCTGTAGCATATGATCCCTGCTTGCGGTAAAGGTTTGGGAATATCTTCCTTAAAGGGCTTTTGTTTTGCATAAGAATTTTGAAGTTGAATTGGAAGGTTATTTGAGGATAAAAAGTGAGAAATTGTCCTGGTATTGTGAATGATACAAAAGAAGATACCTGGACTGATGAATTGTTACTGCCTTGATTGTAGCTGATTAGTGCTAGGCTTTGTTTGTCATTGTGCTCCGCTGTATTGTAGCCATTGCTTTTTTTGTCTTTTACTATCCTAGAGGTATGTAAAATATTAATTAAAATAAGTAAAAATACGTAAAAATTAATTAAAATTATAAATTTATATTTTTAGATAAGGTGCTGCTTGAAAAAGGTCCGTGAGAAGAATTGCCAAACTAAGCCTTGATAAAGCTGGAGTTGGAGTATGTAAAAGAGAGGCCCTAAGTTGGGTCTTTATTGGGCCCTTAAGTACCTTTCCTCTTTTTTTTATCCACCAACTGCAACAAAATGGAATAATTGCTGAAAAGTTTAATGCAAGGATTATTTCCTCTTAGAGCATTCAACAAAATGAGTTAATTGTAAAGGAAGTGTTTTTGGAGTTTTTTCTTTTTCTTTTTTTCCAGCAGCACGCTTCATAATTTTTTCTTTTAGCTCTTACTTGGGTTAAATGGTCCATTTCTTTGTTTCTTTCATAAAGTACTAACCAATTATCACAAATGGCACTAAATTATTTTAAAATATCAATTAATTGATATTACAAGAAATTTCCCTGTGCTCAGATGGGTAGTTTCCCTAGTCATATCTCAAAAAGATGATCATGCAGGCTTCATGCCAAGGTTTTCTTAGACTTCACGTCAGATTATCATACCTAGGCTTGTGTCACTCAATCTCAAAAAGATAGTATAACTGGTCTAAAATTCTCATAAACTTGGTCAAATCTCTATTAATTAAAATGTAATATATAGATTTACAGACTTCTTGTGAATTTAGTCCTCTAAGGACTTTAGGCTTCTAATAAGAAATTAATTAAATACCAAAAAACTCTTAACCTAAAATAAATGCCAAAAAAATAAAAATATAAAAAGACTCTAAATGGGACCAATTAAAATATCCCTTGCTCATAGGATCCATCCAAACTAGAGAAAAATGTATAACAAAACTCAATGATAACTATTAAGACTGAAATAACACTTTTTTCTTAAGTTCTTTTTCTTTATAGTGTATACTGTTGAACTTCAAATCATAGCTATAATTTGTAATTATCGTGATATTTATTTTGCCTCCTTCAATGTCTTTGGTATCTTGGTCAACCTTGTATCCTGTTAACCTTGTGATGCAGAACAAGAACCTTTGGAAGAACTATTTACATTATTTAGGCCTATTATGTAATTGTGATTTTTAAGTTGTTATTTTAGGTTATTATTACTTTCCCCATTTCTCATAGGATTAGGTCTTCTTTTAAGGCTTGAGAGTTTATTGTAAGGCTTCCACATGTATAAGTACAACTCATGAATTCAATTCTTGTTTTTATATCCATTTTTTTATTGATGCAGAGGCCAGCCTTGGAATTTTTTGGAATGATTCAAGCTAGACCACTGGCACGTGATTTATTTATATCTTTTGCACGGTAGGTACATTTGTTAATTTATCTGTTTTCATTCTTTCCTAGGCACTTGACATTGCAAATTGAATATCAAGATTAAAATTATGAGATTTTAAAAGTTCCCTGGAGTAAATAATATGCAGCATAAATGCTTTGCTAAATAGAACTTCATATGATTAGTTCTACCTATAAAAAAGAATTCTAAAAATGTTCCCTTTGTAGGCTAGTCCCACTTTATTTGTGCAATTCTCACAAAGGAAAATGGTAAATAATAGCTATCCACTATCCCTTTGATTGGTTTCAAAGGCTATCTTTCTGCTTGATGAAAGATGTAACACGAGCTAGATCTGACAGTGAGTGAGAAATACTCTGGGAGTTCAGCTTCCTACTTTTCATATTTGCCATATTTTTTGAGGGGAAGAGGAAACTGGTGGACTGTTTTACAGCGCAAACATTATTCATTTAATAAAGCTAGTTTTTGGAATATAAAATAACAAACATGATTAACAAAAAGAGATTCCTCAACCTGTAAAAGAAAAAGATTGGTGGAAATTTATGAAGCATAGATATAATGATGCAAGTTTGCAAATTTTTCATTTCAGGTAAAAAGTCTAAAAAATGTTCTTTCTTTAAATAAACTTTCTACTTTTGTTCTGTTTTCTTGAAAGTTATCCTTGTAACTACTTTAAATTTCCTGAATTAATTGGGCCTAAGCTTTGAGAATAGCACACTTAAAGTTTTTTCCCTGCATTATCCTTTTTTTTTCAATTTATGTTATCAAAAAATTTGACTTGTCTTATTGGATATGGGCATATTAGAAAATTATAAATAGATGTTCCTTTGGCATTTACGGTGTTCATTAATTGGATGACTAGGATTGAGCTGCAACATGACTGCTTGTTCTTCCAAATATACGTTAGTAAATGATGTTTTTGATATCAGGAATTTATTATTTTCACTTCTTTTTTCTTTTCCTGTGGATAAATATTAATGATATCTTGTCTTTCAGGTGTTATAAACATGAATTTTTGAAGGACTTCTTCCTCTCTACTGGAGAGCTTCAAGTAAGTTCCAATTATTTGGCACCATCATTCCTTTTGATACTACCTAGTTATTCCATAATTACTGTTGCTGGTGTCATTACCGTTGCTATTTTTTTCTTTATCTCTATTATTCTTTTGAAAAAAAAAAAAATGACGGCAGAAGGTTATGGAATTCTTATTTTACATCTGGTATAGGAATATGTGGCTGTTTACAGAACAAAGTCTTCTTAAAATTGGTTTAAGTTTCCAGAACACTGGACGGTACAAGTATTTCAGCATAAGACACTACAATATAAATGTAATAGTTGACTATAACAGTATATCATCAAATTAAGTAAATAAGATGGGGATTTGAAATGACCCAATATATTTACATAATCTATCTTAGTGCAGGAGGGCAACTGAGGGTATTATTTGATTCATCTTCCCAAATCATGAATTCATTCTTATTTAGTTTTGAATGTTTAAGCTCAAATATGCATTATCCTTCAGTATAGAATTGTTGGCTGAATATGTATTTGGATTAACCCCCTTTTTAGCCCCCTAACTTACAGATTTTTAAGGTTATTGGCCCCCCACCTAAAAATTTAAGGTAATCAGCCCCTCAACAACATGATTTGGGAAAATTCACCCTTATTTGATGGATTTGAGGTGTGCTTCTCATGTGGGTGTTAGTCAAATGTCATGCCCATCCCATTTAAGTGACACATCAGCATCCTCTCTCCTACCTGGTGTTCCATAGTGGCAGTGTCAAAGTGGGGCTCATGTTTTATTAGGCAGGAATTTTCCACTCATTGCCACTGTGGCAGGCAGGGTAGGAGAGGGGATACTAATTTGTTGCTTAAATGGGATGGGCATGGTGTCTAACTAATGCCCATGTGAGAAGCACGCCTCAAATCCATCAAATAAGGGTGAATTTTCCCAAATCATGTTGTTGAGAGGCTAATTACCTTAAATTTTTAGGTGGAGGCTAATAACCTTAAAAATTTGTAAGTTAGGGGCCTAAAAAGGGGGTTAAGCCCTATTTATTTACTCTCTATGTTCTTATGACAAAAATTTTGGTTTTATAGGAGGTGGGATTTCTTTTATGGAAAGAATCATGGGAAATTGAAAAAAACCCAATGGCAAGTAAAGGAACTCCTCTTCATGGTCCACGCATAAAACTAATTGAAAAGGCCCAGCAACTTTTTGCAGAAACTAAGGAACATACGTTCGAGTCCAAGGCTGCAGAAGAGCATGCTAAATTATTGAGGTGAGAAATGATGTCTTCTGCATTTCATTTACTGCATCTATAGATAGATATCCCCAAAGTTGTCCCAAAATTCTTTTTAGATTTTTATTTTGCAGGAAGGGGTGTTGGGAGTGGGAAGAGCATTTCTTTCATTCATTTTTTTTTTCTCTCCTTAACACAGGGAGACTAATCAACAACATAACCTATGATTAGACCTTCTGCTTAATTGAAATCTTAAAAATTCTACTACAGAAGGCAAAGCAAATTTTCAATAGAAAATGCAATCTAGTTTCCATTTTATTTTCTTGTCTTTCCACTAGTGATCAAAGTTTGCATGTCTAGAACTTGATTAGATATTTCTTCCATCTACATAGTCTTTTATAAACTGACTCAAGAATGATACTCTAAATTTCATAGAATACAACATGACCTAGAAGTAAGCACAAAGCAGGCCATCTTTGTTGATTCAAGTATCAGTGATACCATACGTACATGCATTGTTTTGGGGAATCACCGAGCTGCAATGAAGGTGAAGACTGAATTCAAGGTCTGTAAAGCTCCTCCTATTAAGTCTTATGGAAAAAAGTGTCTGGTGCCTCAAAATATAACATAGTGGTGGGCTTTGTCATTTGAGGTGCTAAGGATAACATATCAAATCTTATTTGTTTCATTTTTGTGTGCTTGATAATTGTTTAGGTGTCTGAGAAGAGATGGTATTGGCTTAAAGTTTTTGCTTTGGCTACAATCAGAGATTGGGATGCTCTAGAAAAGTTCTCCAAGGAGAAACGACCACCAATTGGTAAGCTTTCTAACCCCCATTTAATTTGAGAGATCAAGATAGAATAGCTCTCTTATATTATCTTGCAGTGTCAGTAAGTTATCTCTTTTAGCTTATTCTTATAGATGATTGGATTGTGTTTAAGTGGTTTTGGACAAAGGTTTTGATATAAATTGATGAAGTGCATCTGTTGTTTTCTGGGTATATAATAATGCAATTTGTTCTACAAATTTGAAGTTGTTTATAAAGTAACTTTAGAACTTCTATCTCCTTATGAACGTGGATGTGACAGATAAAGTTGTCTCCTTTTTCTTTTCATAAATGTTGGCTTATTGAACTTGTGTTGTGAGCTGAGGCATGATGTGGAAAGCAAGTAGATTGTTTTGGGATTTTTATCTTTAACATGGTAATATAATTTCGATTAATTAACGTATGTACTATGTACACATAGGATATTTATACAAGGACCAGATTGAATTCAAAGCAATGAAAAGTAACCAGACTTTATCAACCAGACTTTATCTCTAAGTATTGGATTTAGTTGTTTGACTTGAGCTCATGCCACATAAGCATGTAGTTTTTGCTACTTCTCCTAACAACCTGTTGAGCTTGAGCATAGATGTCATATACTCAATGTATTGTAGTCTAGGACTGGCCAATGAATTTGTAAATAAATCGTCAACTGGTCAGTGGACTACCTATAACTTAGTGATCTGCCTAAATGGCATATCTAAGGGCATCAGTCTACTTATGCCCATGGTTTACATATAAATTTGGCCTCAATCAGGTGCTCTTCAAATATCTCAAGGTAAATGCTGCCTCCCATTGAGAAGTATGCTGAGGACTAAAATGGACTGACAACACTAATAGCAAAGGAGATATCTGGTCTGGTGATGACGAGATAGTTTAGCTTACCAACCAATGTCCTATATCTTCCAGAATCTAATTGTAAGTCCCCTGATCAGGTAGACATTTTGTGTTTTGATCCATAGGAGAGAGTACACAAATTTGCTTTTCAATAACAAGCTTCTGTCAGCAAATTCTTTGAGATGGTACAATTCTTCTTTTTGAGCTGGGAGCTCTCCAAAAATGACTACCATGATCACCTTGTTGCACCAAGATTGAGAGACGAGCAATGGCAGAGGGCTGCAAAGCATCATAGGATGATGGTAATAAGCACAAAACCTGAGTATAAGTCTCCATAAAAGAAGGGAGCTCTAAATCTCTCAGAATCAGTTACCAAATGTGCTCAAAACTCAGGTGGCAACCCAACTAAAAATTTCATGACTGCTAACTTGTCTCTTTGCCTTTTCATCCTAATCATCGTCAATGGTAGGCATCCATCTATGCAGGGATAATATACTGTAATACTCCTATCTCCCTTTTGAACATCAAAGCACTCGTTGGATAAATCATACATAAGAATGAGAGTGCTTGCATATAGCTATTACATGTCACCCATACATCTTCACAAGAATCGAAGAACAAACAAGTGTGTGAAATTGCTAGTTCCATGAGCCCTATAATAATCCCAAGAGGGTGGCATCATCTTGTTTCCAAGCCCCTATATGAGAGCTAGTTAAGGCAATTGTAGTGAGATGATCTAGCCTACCTAGACCAGTAAAGAAAACCTTTACGGCTTTTGACCAATGGTTATAATTAGAACCATATTTAACTTGCAGCATGTAACTGGCATGGGAAGATTTTAAGGCAATGGAGTTGGAGTTGTAGGATTAGAAGTGTTGAATTGGGAGAAGCCATTGTAGCAAACAATTGACCATACCAAATGAAAATACAAAGTGAAAATGTGCTTGTATCTTTAGGTTCTGGAAAGTTAGGTGAGAGTGTTTTGGGTAGTCAAGGGCTTTGACACCATGTCATCTTTGAAATGGTAATATTATATCCATTAATTCACATGTATGTGTACCACACATAGGATATTTATATGTGACCTGATTGTCTTTCAAGCAATGAACAGTGATTGGACTTGGTCCTCAAGTGATTGACACTTTGGCATAAGTTCATGCCACATCAGCATGTAGTTTTTGGCTTTCTGCCATTTCTCCTAAAAGAATTGTTTGAGTTGATGTGTCTAGACTAGTCAGTGCATTAGCATTTCAATCATGGATTTCTCTTGCCCATTAATGGATGTTAATAGTTTGTTTCCTACGTGTTTTTCTTTGGCACCAAATAGGTTATAGGCCATTTGTGGAGGCCTGTATTGATGCAGATGAGAAAGCTGAAGCTCTAAAATACATCCCAAAGCTTGCTGATCCTCGAGAAAGGGCTGAGGTAACCAAAACTTGTCCAGTGCATTCTCTTTTTGAGCTTATGCTACTTCGTATCCATTGATCATGTTGAAGATTGGTGTATGTAAAATGGAAAATAGAGAAATAGAGTGCTAGGATTGGAATATTGGTTGTTAAATTCACTGATTCTTTTTCCAGTTCTCTTCTACTCTTAATCTCTCTGGTTTTTAGAAAAAAAAATTCCAGAGCAATCTGATTCATGAAGAACTATGTACCTTTGTTGAAACCTGTTTATAATTCTGGACAGGCATTTGCTCGTATTGGAATGGCCAAGGAAGCTGCTGATGCTGCTTCCCAAGCCAAAGATGGTGAATTGCTTGGTCGATTGAAACTGACATTTGCACAAAATGCAGCAGCTTCGTCACTTTTTGATACCCTTCGAGATAGATTGTCTTTCCAAGGTGTTTCTTAATTCTCTATCTGTTTGTTCTTATTATTGGTTCCCCCAACTCCCAAAGACGTATTTTTTTCTCTTGTATTATGCTGGTTTGTCGTTCTGCAAAGGAAAGAGATAAGATGTTGGTGGCTGTGCCCCGAGTGTATAGGTCGATGGATTTTCTTCTTGGTGGACTACTTGTACTGATGTAATGCCAGGAAATTATTTTATAGTGGTGTCAAACTTTTGTCCATATCAATTCTCAGTTTTTGGTTTATCTCGGTATGGGCTATGTAACGAACCGGTGATGGCTCGAATGCTTCATCTGTACCTAGGATTTGAACTTAAGGAGGCCTCCAAATTGCAAGGTCTCTATGTTAAACCACTGGAACCATTTCTTGAAAATTCCTGAGGTGGCTCGGGCATGGCAAAATTGAATGTGGGGTGTGTCACTTGCTTTGTAGAAAGCAGGATTTTTCGAAAGTACCCTCTTCTTTTGAGCACTCGACTTCCATTGGGATGGCTGTAAGATTGTTCATTGTAAAGTTGAGTTTGTGCTTTTAGATGTAAGAGGGAGGAATGCTTTCTTGTAAATTGGGTTATTAATCTACTTTGGACAATTCCCAGGGCTCTAAAACATCAGCATAAACTAGAAGCTTTAGATCTAAAACAAAATGAATTAAATAGAAACTAAACCAGCTTTCATCTAATGATTAGCCAGACCTGATGGCAAATCAAACTGAGCCATTTTAGAACTAGAAAATTAAATGGGCCTGTAACTAGAGTAAAGCTAAGTATTCATGATGTTTATGGTGTATTTGGTTTAAAGAAAAGGAAGGGAAATTGAAGAATATTATATCCCTCCTCTTCCTTCATTTCATTTAGATAAGTAAAGAAATGAAAGTGAAAAATGAAGTAAATGACTCCACTCCCCTCCTCTCCTTCAAATTTCCTGCCAACAAAAATAAAGGAATTTTAATCCATTACCTTCCTTCAAACCAAACATACTATTAAGCAAACAATATTGAAAGTAAGATGAACATGAATGAAAATCGTAAAAGCCATATAAGTTGACATTTAAAGAAATGACACTTATCTCAAAATTACTAAATAAACAAAGAGATTGTTGTAAGAGCTATAATTAACCTAAATTTGATTAGAAGTTGTGATAAACTAAACTTTGAGAGTTATGTGAACAGTAGTTTTGAAAAATAAAAAGTTGAATATAATGAGTTGAGTGGGTTAGATATTTGTTTCTTCTAAATTGTCTTTTATATGTCTTAAGGTAGATGGTAACCACTCACTCTCATTGATGTAGAATATGGACTTCATGAATTAGTTGGACAACTTAATAGTAGACCTAATCAAAACTCTCTCCAAGACTTACCACCTATCTACGACTACTTCACCCACTTGCTAATCTTGGCTAGCAACTTCTCCTAAAATTTTTCCACCAAAAAAAAAAAAAAACTTCTCCTAAAATTTAGCCACAATCAAACAAATAAAACTAGATAAAGATAAAGAGGAGATAATTGCCAAAAACACTATTTGGTTGAATATGTAACATCCACCAGTAAGGTCTATTATACTCTAGATCATAACAATATCAAGTTTAACATGGCTTAATCATAGCCACTTATTCAAACAATGTGACATGTGGTGTTAATAGATAAATTTGTAATTTATGGTTAAACAACACTGCCAAACACTTAGTTTTATGAAAATAAATCCAAGTGTTTGATTTTAAATTAAAACACCAATTACTGTTGTCGTGTGTCAAACTCTAGCAAGCAAAGAGGTCTATGAATGTAAAGAGTCCCGCCAAGGTGTTTGCCTTCCTTTCCTTTTGGAGCTTTGATGAGATTTGCAATGAAACTGAGGTTTATCGCGCTTGACTTGCTAGCCTGTAGTTGTTGCTTTTGCAGACTCTAATTTCTAGGGTCACCATGATGGATGATACTTTGGAAAATGAACTTATGGCTCAACTAGAGGCACTTATAGATTTTATAGCCAAGATAGAACTTGACTAGAAGAGGGAAAGTCTGTTGCTGAGGAGAAGATTCAAATTTCAACACCTTAGCACTAGAATAAATCAGTTCATCTTAGGTTGTTGCACTACAATTCCATTCGGTTCATGAAGTGGAACAAAATCAAGCAAATAGGTTGAAATTTAGACATCCACCAACACGAGCATAGGCAAGTTTGCTTTTTCCCTTTGGTTAGCACATCAATTGTAATGAGATCTCTTTTGTATCTAGCTTGCTTACTGAAAGAGTCTACGGACCATAAATTTAGTTCAAGTTATAGGAAAGTAACCTATATTGGCATTTTAGCAACACACAACTCTTTTAATTCCATATCAAGAGTCCAAGACTTTAGCTTCAATGGATAACCACCCCAATATATTCACTTCTTTAACAGAACATTCACCTTAAGTTCAACAGAGTCAAAATCGAAAATGAAGAAACCCTCCTTAAGTGACTGCACCATGGGAACTTAATAATCCTTCCACACTATATTCACAAAGTTCAACATATCTTTAAAACTAGGTCAAGTATCTATGCCAAATTTTTGCACCCTTATTCCATTCTTCTGTAGTAAAAACCATTGCATTTGCTTTTTCATCATAAAGCACATATCGTAAGGTATTACCTTTGACCATATTAGCACAAGTTCCCCTTGGAGGCGCTAGGTTCACCAATTTGTCCTACAAAATCCCTAATTTAGTTGCTATAATCTCAGCTTTTCCCTTCTCAATTGCACTTTGCTCTAAATCTGCAATGTCACTCTAGAAAACTTTCTCAGTGTCCTTTTTCTTAACAAGCATAGATTCAACTTCAATGCGGTTTCCTTAAGTCACTTCTATAGACTTAGAATCCACAACTTCAACTATCTCCATTAGACCATCACATAGAGAACTAGCTATCACATCTTCCATTCTTCTTTAGTAAAAACCATTGCATTTGCTTTCTCATCATAAAGCACATATCGTAAGGGATGACCCTTGACCATATTAGCACAAGCTCTCCTTGGAGGCTTTGGGTTCACCAATTTGTCCTACAAAATCCCTAATTTAGTTGCTATAATCTCAGCTTTTCCCTTCTCAATTGCACTTTGCTCTAAATCTGCAATGTCA